GTACATCGAAATATCGCGAGGTAATTCTACGGTTACCACGGAATACCCACCTAAGACATATATTGCATTAAAATATGGCATACGCAAGAGTACCTATAATAATGATATTGTCGTAACTTATATGATAGGTCAGTGGTTACCACGGAGTACAGTAATAATAATAATATGATTAAGTAGATTTTACGTCGGGCCATTACAGTACTGCATTTGTAGTAGTACATTACAGTACCTACCGGAAACCTTTGTAATAATAATTATCACACCTCAAACGTGGACATCAAACGGGTTAAGTAAAGTAGTGCTGCAAAAGTTAACGTGATTATAGTTATTGAGAGTGCTCAAAACTACATGAAGCAATTAAAATAATTTTAAAAACGTTATATACTATTATATCTTAACTGGCGTACACATAGTCATTCCCACTGACTAAAAGGTATACTATTATTGAATAAAACTTAATAATATTATTACATTAATATTTGAAAATAAACTGCTATGAAAAGGTTTTTTTTTATATCCAAGCATTAACAAAAACCAAAATAAAGGTTTTTTGATTTTCTTAACATGATATTTTTTTGAAATATTACAAAAACGATGAAATTAAACACGGGTGTTTAACACATCGTGGATTTAACTAATTTTGGGCAGGTCTAGCTTCCGGTCAAAATGGTTTTCCACATCTAATAATTGTATTTCTAACTTGAAGAACGATAAATACACCCGATATTTGAAGTATCATAATTTTTTTTAAATTTAAAAACTTAATAATTTAATAGATGAGTGCATATATTGCAATTACCCATAAAATAGGTAACTACTTTAATTCTAAATTTAATTTAATTTTTAACTTTTAAAAACTTTTTACATAAACATTTTCACGAATAAAAAAGTTCTGTGAAGACTTTTAAAAATATTTTAAATTCTATAAAATATCTCGCATTATAAGATTAAAGGTACTACGGCTTATATTATTTACTACCAGACCAGTATCAAGACATTCAAAATTGTATTTCGTATTCCATTATATTTTTTAAGTGACGTAATCCATAAAAAAAGTTGTCTATTTCAGATATGCTACACATCACATGATACCTACATTATAATATATATTATGATGATCGCACTACATGATTTTTAAATATACAATCATAGACAAAATGATTGAATGTGGTACGATAATTTGTTTAAAGCGATATAAGTAGTATACATGCTTTGTATGTGTGATAACATTTAGAAAGAGTGACACTACAATAAAATATTCTTTAGTAAATAATCAAATTTCGCTACTCTGAACTCTACTTTTACAATAATGTACAGTGCACATACCTAAATTAATTACTTTTTATCCTACGAGGAAATAAACTAGTTACATTCTAAATTTTAAAAAAATTGTACACATCCTGAATATACTGAAAATTACATCTCTTCTATGCGCACCACTCGTGCTACGAAAATTTTATTTGCGGTTATATGTGGACACATTTTTTTTATGTAACGGTAGCGCCATGTATCAAAAGTAAGTTGTAGACATCCTGCAACCCCGGCATAGTTTAAACCTGTATCATAGATTAAATATATTTTCTTCATAATGTATGTTATTATTATTGTTAGAAACAAGTATAATATTTTTTAATTTTTAGTTGACCTACCCACCTCATTTTTAAAATTATTTTTATAACATAATGTCCAAAAATTTAATTTAATTTAAAACTAATACTATTTATTATGAATCGCATATAATAAAATTATTTTTACCATTCAAAAACGTTAGTGGAATGTAACATAAAATACATACAAAATGTAAATATTTCCAATATTATAATTATTGTTTCGGTTATATATTATCGGTAAGGATTTTCATGAATAAATAATACCTTGATATAAATTGTAATCGACATAATAACGACGTGATGATAATAATGATGAAAACGAATGGTTTTCTATTATGAAATAATATAAATACGTTTCAGTGTTTCACTATCAGCGAGTGCTGCAAACTTCGTGTTTAATAATATGATTTCAGCCATTGGCGTATTTCTATTACCTTCCTACCTACGCGTAACAGCAATTTACACTATGCATATCACGAATATTCAATATAGGTAACCATTATAAGTTATAACCTGGGGAGAGGGAGGGTACCTAGGGAGAGTATCTAAGTGAAAAACATTTTTACCAAAACTCACATGGAATCTGCTACCCGTTGCCTATACGATGAAAATGTATAAAACAATAAACTACATAGTTATCAGACAATATTATTCATGTGAACTCGTTTTTTTTTATGCTTATTTTTTTTTATCGAACGCACAATATAGAACTCGGGATGAATATTTTTAGCGACTTTCTGTATTGTAAGCTACATCTTTGTTCGACGTGCACTTTCACTGTGTCCCCCAAGTCACGTTCCGAGAATGATTTTTATCTTCATTATACTCGTATATTTACACACACACCCACAAACATCTAATAATATATGTATTGTAAATTTATAAAATATTATGCACGCGTAGGTCCGTATGCATTTTTTTGAGTTAAATGTGTAGTTTTTATAAAAGTTTAATAGTAAATTAGAACTTCCGACAAAACTATTACATTTTAAATAGTATAATCTTCGAAAATATTTAATCGAAACGACAGTCTTACGAAATATGTCTTATGCATTAATTTAATTTGTTATAACTTTCTATACAGAATATATATATATATATATTATATATATCATTTATATCAATATAATTTATTTATTTTTTGGAAAATATTTGTTTAGTTGTTTTCATGAAAATAACTATTTTGTCCAAATAAATGAAGAAATACAAGCAAACTCCAACGATCGTGTTACGTTCATTGTAGAATGAATGTAAGATATTTTTTTAATTTACAACAGTTTTCCTTTTTTTTTACTCTTCACTCTTCCGAAAAATTATAATATGTCGATCATTAGTGTGATGGAAATATTTAATATTGTTACAATATCGTTTCGTAAATTGAGAGGTACATGATTTTACATAAATGTATACAATCTTGATAGGTATTCGTATAGTTTCTTTATTAATCAAAATTCTGATTACCATATTATTAATTATATTTTAGGTTCTTGTGACGGTTCCGATGTTTATAGTTCTACTAACAAAAAACGATCCATTAACGGGGTTGCATCGATCTGTTAATCCAAACATTATAAATTAGTTAAAAACAAACGTAACATTTTGTATTAATTTGTTCAAAAATATGTAAATTCCATTTTAATTCTTCTTTATATGGAACTTATTTAAATCTAAATGTACGTATATAATAATGAAAAATTGTAAATGTCTCTGTATCAATAATATAACTTGACAGATTAAAAAAATGATGTGATTCATGATTTTATTGATTTTTTAAAATTTAAAACAGATACTAATTTGTCTAATAATTGTCTTGATTAAATAGTTTTAATGAAAAATGAAGACTTTAAGCCATTAAAATATTATTACTTAGAATGTGTCTTTTTTTAGTTGAGTATTGCTATACTATCCAATCTCATCAGTAGTGCGACGTGAAACAATTATTATAAGATATTAAAATGTCATTGCCAGTTTTTTATGTTTTTCAGTCATACTATGACACTATGCATATTGTATGAATATATATTGTTTAACATTGTTCTCAACTTTTGTATACTTAATAGAAATGACGGTTTACGTCAACTGCAAACGCTGTATTCCCGTCGACACTATAATATTATAATAGATGGCTGTTCCCAGTACTTTTATATGACTGGTTTTATATTATTTTTCGTTCGGTGTCACCCCTTCATTGCTGTCGGTTAATGCAAAAAATTAGTATTTCCACGATTTCACCTGTTATATAGTATTATATTATAATAACATGGGAGATAGCATTCAAGCACATAGGCTATTGTATGGAACCGTTGTGAAGGGATGAGTGGTTGAACTAATTTTTTGGTTTGTTGTTTAAATTAAAAATATATTTATGCTCGAAGAAAGTATTACCAGAGTATTGTTTCTCCTCGAGCGACGGAGACATTGAAGGAATAAATATAATAATATTATAAACGCTGAAAATGTAATATGTTTAATACTTTCAAGTTTCAGTCGTACACATTTTCGGTTAACATCACCAACACTCACGTTCATTGACTTGAGGATTTAGTTACTATTTAATTGTACATTGGAATCGAATTGTATACAAAACTAGTTCACGGACCAGAAATTGTTTACTTCATTATTATTGTATTGTACTAATATTTTTAAATCGTCTTAATTTGAGGTTTTGTATGACAAAATCCCAAATTCCAAGACTTAAAGTTATATCGAGTGCAGGAGTTTTCCCTTTTTTCTTAGACTATACAAATAAGTACACCATAATTCTTGTTATACAATGTCATTGTGTAGCAATGAAAAGGCTTATTAGATAACACGATATTTTTCCATTTCTACACAAATGCGCACCGCAACGGAGAATAACTAAAATTTAAATTAGTACTTAGTATGTACATTAAAATGTTCGTCTTATGCATGGTATCAAATGTTGAAATAATTCCTTTTTTTTTTGCTGAAATAATTAAATTTTTGGAAGAACATTGGATACGATAATGGTTTCGCGTATGATTATAGTATAACAACTAACAATTAGGTACAACAAAATACAAACAGTGACGCGTATACTACGCTAGTATTATGAGCTTGGAAGACATTTTATGACGACACGTATTTGCGTCATTGGTATGAAATGATTTCAACGATTTCACAAACAACAAAATATTATGAGGTTATGAAGTAGGTACCTCCCTCTTCCTATCAACCACTGTCCACTAGTTGTTATCAAATTCCCTGACCACAAATCGTGTGTCCGTATTATATTATGATATTATTGTGTATTATTATTTTCCCCTTGGCCGAGGCTCGTGGGGAGTCGTACACTGTTTTAGCTTTAAGGAGCGTCGTATGACGGCGAATTTGATAGTAATATAATTATTGGACTTCGGTCGTGCTTAGGTTTCGGAACGGGCCATGAACGGATCGGATTTCGGCGGGCCCAACTCGACCAGCAACGGAACCGACGGCGCGGCGTGGCCCGACAGCAACCAATTCGAGTTGCCGTGGTGGCACCAGCTGGCATGGACCGTGCTGTTTGTGCCCATGATCATGGTGGCCACGGGCGGCAACCTGATCGTCATATGGATCGTCATGACCAACAAGCGGATGCGGAACGTGACCAACTACTTCCTGGTGAACCTGTCCATCGCGGATGCCATGGTGTCCACGCTCAACGTGTCCGTAAACTTTAGTTACATGCTGACCAGCAACTGGACGTTCGGCACGGCCTATTGCAAGATCAGCCAGTTCGTGGCAGTCCTGTCCATATGCGCCAGCGTGTTCACCCTAATGGCCATATCCATCGACAGGTATGTGCCCCTTATATTCAGGCTGCTCTTCGTGAGGTACTTCACACCGTTGTCACGCGGCGCTAACGCTCTCCAATATTATTACCGGAGAGAGACCCAAATATCTGATTTTAAAAATCTCACGTTACAACACGGTACTGCAGCTGTTAAGAACGTTGCACAATTCATTTAATATAAAAATATATTAAAAAATAGTATTTATTTGTTCATAAATAGTTGGGGATTAGTGTTCAGGAATTGAGATCGTTAAGTATTATATGAAATAAATCAAAAAAGTATTGTTTTAAACAATCATAGAGTGGTTGCGATGGACAGTCGTATACGAAGCGAGGTACCACGAACATTGAACGTATACCTGTGAGATATTCTTCGTTTCGCCTATAATCAAGGCTGGAAAGTGATTTCAACAAGTGATATTGTTTTAGACGTTCTAACCAACATTTAAAACAATGTATTTATGCTTGAAAAACATATTAGTTGTATATGTAGTATAATGAAATAACTTTAATCATGTTTATACCAGATCACAAATAATTTAATAATACAAACAGTTAAGTAATAATAGTTATTTATTTCTATAGAATTAAAAAACCAAAATCATCATGTTTTATCAGTTAATACTTATCATTTTATCAACCATGGCAGTTTGATTTATTAGTAAGAATTTAAGATGAATTTTTTTAAATTATAATAATAATATCTATTTTCCAACAAGATAATTACATTCATAAATAAAGTATGACATAAGTACATAATATACGGTTAAACCTCTATATAATTCTTCTAAGGATACGAATAGCAATAAATATTTTTTTAGTTCTGATGATGCAAAACAAGTGAAATATTATCATTTTAATGTTTTTAAAAAATTTAATTTTTAGTTTAGAAAGTAAATTTTCTTAAAAAAACCAATTATTTTTTAGTTAAAAATCCTACTAACAAATCGTTTGTGTTACACCCACATGAATATTTAAACAAAAAAACTGTACCTATATTATGTAAAGAAACTTGAAAAAAATGATGTGCAAATTTTTATACGTGGATATAAAAATGATACATAATGCAAGTTCCAATAATTTAATAAAAAAGATATATTATGTAAATTTGTTTAACGGTGTAAATGTCATGCACGTCTCAACGTCAGTTGCATACATTTCCACTACTGAATTTCATGCATTTTTTATTATAAGCTAGTACACCAATAAGAACCCATATTATAAACTCGTCAATTATTATAAAAAAAAAACTACCACTTCGCCGTTATCGGGATATGATCGTTACGATAAAATAATAAATCGTATACATCTATTCCTGCAACTATTACATGTTAGTGTGGCATTCCAAGACGATGACTAGATAGTAATATTATGAAAAACAAAGTGGGTAAAATACAATAACCAAGATAAATCCGTGATATTTTCTGCAAATCACCCGACGACCAATATAGTGTCCTTACAATAAATATTAAATATTATAATATAATATAAACCCATATTGTTTTTCAGGAACTCTTATTATTGTTTTAATATGCACCTACGCGTCTCGCTCTAGTAACGCTGCCAACACAATATAATTATTATCATAATATATATATTTGCGTATGGGGGGGGGGGGGGAGGACTCGGGTACCATCTGATTTCGTTCTTAATTAGTGGAGTCGGGTAGTGACTTACACAAAATCCCAACTCAAAGGGCTCAACGATTCTATAATATTGTTTTATACTTTTCTGATGCGCTCGGGCGACGACAATAATTATACAATGTTGTACAATATAATAATATTATACAAGTTTGAATAATATGAACCAAGCATAAAGGTATTAGGCGTACATACGTGTACTGCAGATTTATATAGAATTTACACTACATATGTATAGATATTTTTTTAATATTTCCGGTAGTACGCTTGATAAACATTTAATTCCGTTGACATCAATAATTGTAAACATTTAAATATTTCAATATCATTATGTTAAATTGTACATGTATGTCTGTTGTTCGATAAGTTCTGTCTGTTTTTGCTCATTAGTCACGCATAATTCGCTGTGTAAGTGTGATGATTTCCAGAACAAAGTATGTCCTGTAGAGTAGCCTGCTAGATTCAAAATTCTGGAGGGGATGGGGTTAAGGGGTTGTTGAATCTCCGCGCCCTTGAACTTTTTTAGTATGGATTTATTTAACATGTTATTATGATAACGACAGCCGTTAACAATAATAAATCTAAATTTGGAAAATTTGATCTCAAGCAGATTTCGCTACAAATTGATGTGTTGCAGAAATATTAGAATGTCGGACAAATACACGATTGTCGCTTTCAATCCTCTTAATATAAATTTTAGTTATGTTCAACGATTGATTTTTCTGCCAGTGTTCTTCCGTGGCGAGAAGTTATAATATGAAATTAGTTTTTATCATAGAAATTCAGGAATTTTTTCACTAAATTGCAATGTCTTCTTCATTCCATCATCATTATATGTCACGAAATATTTCCATTCACCCCCCCCCCTCCTCCCGCCCTCCCCCGTTACATAAACTACGAACCACCACAGGTGTACACTGTACACACATCAAAGAACCAACGACATTGAGCTGTTATATATTATATTTAACCTACGTATTAAACAGTGTTAAACAAATTGCAATGGGTGGGTGGGTTTGGGGTGGGGTTAGCACGCCGATACCCCTATAGCTGCGTGATCGGCCCGGCAGTATATATATATTTATATATATTGGAGAGCGGTAGTAAATCGCGTGTACATCTCACCACAACACATCATATTCGTTATTATTATATATTTATATATTAGTAATATAATATATCGTTACACTGACGTGGACCGTAATTATTTCCATTATAATATATTGTATGCGTATAATAATATTTTGTATAATTTACCTTTTTACCTATAATTTTATTGCACAGGCCTGCCACTAACCTCAAAATAGTTTATTATACGACAAGGTTTCGGATCAGAGAATGTTTTCACTTAATAAAGATTGATCAATTCAGAATTATTATATCAGAAGTTTTCTGTACATCAAATAAATGTTATAATAGTCAACCTCGAGTCGAGCATTTTTCTTCAGTTCACTATTTTCTAAATTACCATAATTTAATTACCATTACACGGTTATTTTTATAATGAATTATAATTTGTTTTTGAATACGAAATATGATTCAAGTGGATACCTCCGTAGTACATACATATTTAAAAAGTATTATTTATTGTAGAGCTTACTGACGTTTGATTATATTTACAAATAATTATAGAAGCAAGTTCATCAAGGCTGTGCATTAGCTTATTATCATTTAACAGTTATAATTGTTTAAACATAAAATGTCCCTTAAACACTTAGCTTTATGCAAACATAATTTTTGACACTAAACATTGTTTATTCTCTGTACACCATATCTTACAAAATCGAAAGATGACAAATTGGATGTCGATAACATAATTGAAAAGCAATAAGCTCGAACATTAAGACATATGTACTTATGTTACTTGCTACATGTCAGTTATAAGAGAAAACACTCATTCGCTGATATTTATATGACAGTTTAATTTTTGGACCTCATGTATGGGAATTAGCTCCAAATTAAATATAATGATTGATGGTCTTAAAGTTATTAATTTATTTAGTCACAATCGTTATCTCCTAAGTTAGAACTCGTTTACAAATTGGAACTTTGACAGTCTATTACGCAATTCCTAGAGTGTTGGTGATAATATTGAGAAAGATTTTATACGATTAACCAACCGTTTAAAAAACCATAGCTTGGCAAAGGTCCACTGCAGTATCTAACCAAAGAGGAAAAAAATAAACATCTAACGCTTATACTAAAAACTTAAGCTCATATTAATCGACAAAAAAAATATTGATTTATTTCTGAAGTAACAATAAAAAAACAAATCTTAGAGTAAAACTTAGCATTTAGGAGTACACGGGCACATCCATTTGTTCAAGATGGTTCGTTGTAAAATAGACAATTTTCAAGAAATGATTTGTGTATTAATAATAGTCATTTTTTTTTAATTCTCTAAATTATAGTTGTACGGATATAAATATATAATTGAGGTTTAATAAATAAAGTTAATATTATTTTTATTTGTTAAAATATTTCAAATATAATATGTATATATATTTAGTTTTTACTTAAAAAAGTAATATACTCAATTCATAAAAATTTAAATACAAATTATACATAAATGCGTTCCTCAATAGCTTAACTTTATAAATTATACTATTATAAGCACCCAGATATGACACAAATACAATTGGGAAAATGGGCGGTCGGCAATCGGACCACATTTTATCTACTTCGTAACAAATTATTTTTATGTTTTATTGCCCGTGTATTGGACCACAACAAAAATATGAAATGTATAAATAATACCGGCAATTGGGCTATATATTTATAACTTAATTAAAATAAATTATTACTTTAGAACTTAAATGCATTCAATTTAATATAATAGGCAAGTCTGCACTTATTATAATTATATTCGTATTCGACAGTCACCAAATAGTATACATAGGTATAAAACTATACACATAAATTATAAATTATAACAATTATATGAATAACAAGCCCAAAGAAACCGTTTTATTAAAAATAAAAAATAAAAAATAATGAATACTGTTTAGACAAAATCAAACCGGGTTTTCTCTATAGCTGCTCAGTACTTAGACTATGTTAATATCAGATAATTTATGAAATACTCTTTGACAAGGCCCGCATGGCAAGTAGTGTGAGACCATAAACGTCGTGATACACTCAGAATTTTTTCCCTAAGAAGTAAAGAGATTCATAAAAATAGTTTAGTAGTGGCCCGCAGTAACTGTATTTCATTTAAAAAAAAAAGTTTGGTACACCGTACTCAATCGTGCTTTACCGAAACTATAAAGTCAAACAAGAATAAGGGTTTTTCTTCTTTTTTTTTAAAAAATTTTTAAGTGTGGTAACATATAGTGGCAAGTTACACGATAGCATGAGAATGAATTATGTATTATTGGTCTTTTGATACATTCCAATGAGGGAAATTGAGAAATGGAATCAAAATTATTATGCATCAGAAGATTTCAAACACGATAGGTACCTGCTATATAATATAATATATTGAAAGGAGTTCTTTTATCACGAATTTGTTCACACAAACGAAAAGAAACATTTATGTTTTTTCTTAAGTATAGACGATAAAGATGTAATATGATTTTTCAGAAATATAT